GCGTGAAGTTCACCGGTGTAGAGCTCGCCGGTGACACGGACCTCGCTGCTCCGATGGAGAAGGTCATTGCAGGTCCAGTGGAGAAGGCTACGATGAGTCCGTGCACCGGAGAAGCCCGCGGCGGGCGGGAGGCATGGTGGAGAGGGAGGAAGATGGGCTGTCGTGCTCTGGTGTGGAGGAGATGCCGGCCGATGGAGCAGAGGCACGATGGAGAGGGAGGCGTGGTGGAGATAGTGCTAGCCCTGCAAGGGTGCACGGGGTGCGATGGCCTAGGGCCCACGGGAGGGGGCCCTAGCCCAGGACCCCACGTATATAGGCCCTCAGTACTGCAGACCCTTTAGCCTTTAGGTATGCCACGTGTAACGCGTCTACGTGAACGCTCGCCCGACGCCTAGGACCCAATGCGAACAGCCGAAAGCCCGCGCCGCCGAAGGGTGAATGCGAATCGTCGTCCGTGATCCGTCTCGCCGACACCGCGCGTGCGGCATAGGCACTACGGCTCCCGTCCGGCTGTCCCGTGGTTGTCCGGTACAATGCTGCCGGGTAGGCCGTAGGCGGGTACGGGACGCAGACGACGGCAAAGCGACGATCTAGGTATTTTTCCTTAATCGTTTTTTAATCTAAATTAATTACTTCGGACTTCTAGTACTCGGTACTCATATAGTCATGTTTTTCTTCTAATTTAGGTGTCAGAAACTTAGAATGTTACTAAAAAACAGTTGTCGGGGTCTCAGAAAAGAAAACGGAAAAGAGTAGAAAATCAATTTATTGAATCTCAAAAAGATGCTATACATAAGTTTTTTTCAGCTTCAAGCAGTGTTATGCCTGATGATAATCCTGTAGATGCACTTGATATCGAAGAACAAGGGCAGCAACAGCAACAAGTTAATGATAATTTAAGTGAACAAGTTGATGACATTGATGATGCTACAGAGAATGAAAATTTGCAGCCTTCCTCTCAACCTGAAAATTCAATTGATGATGTGCAAGAAGCTTCTGTTCATGATGTCTATGCAAGAAGCTTCTATTTTTTAGGAGAAGCAATGGATATTATGGAGTTCTATTCTTCCTTAAGGTAATCATATTAGTTTTAGTCTGCATTGTTTCTCGATAATTATCAAAAAATATTAAATAAAAAATATATTATTAAATTTGTTTTTGCTTTACAAAAAAAATAGCGTTTATATATATTATAAGATTTATATATAGTCTAGAGGGGCTGTCACAACAAGTTCGCCAGAGGGCCCTCAAAATCTTAGGACCGGCACTGGGTGGAGAGCACCGTCGCGAAGAGCTGGCACGGCGCTGCGGTGAGGTGAGTTTTTTCTTCTCTTTAGAACGAGTTGGATGAGCAGGGCTACGTCGCGGCCAATCACACATATCGTTCCGGATGGACGAACGTCCTGTACCCAGCATTACCCTTGTTCGAAACGTCACCGCCTCAGCTCTTGCCCGATGCCCGAATCGCGCTAGCCCTCATAGCTGCTTGACCACTTGTCTTCCACCCCACGGCACCACAGCTCCACGGCCCCCCCCCTGCCAATGCCGTCGTCCCGTCCTTGCCTCACCAGACCTCCCCTACTTCTATCCCGTTAGTAGGGATGAAAGCGGGAGCGGGAAATTCCCGTACCGACCGACACCGAATACCGAAATTCCCGACCGGATATCATTTTCTCGGGAAAAAACGGATTCGGGAAGAAATCCGGGAAAATTCGGCGAATCCGGTATCGAAATCGGTTAGAATGATTTCCCGACCGAATTAGCGGATCCCGTATTTGTCCGGGAAAACTCCCGCGGGAAATTCCCGTTTTTCCCATGGAGCAGCAATTTTGGCCCAGGAAGCAAAGTTTGGCCCAGAAGCAAGGTTTGGCCCGTGAAGAGAGAGGAGGCAAAGAGCGGAGTCATGCATGCGCCCATCATTCCATGCTTGGCCAGTTGGCCTGTGAATTCACGCATGGAGGCATGGAGCATGTGAGCAGCAAGCCTTTTGTTCATTTTTCTTTTCCATTTTCTTTTTGGTAGTTCTTTAGTTTTCTTTGCATAAATATTCGACGAGCTCACTATTTGCTATTGTATGCATATGGATTATGCATGGTTGCTATTGTTGCATCGAGCTCACTGCTTTCAATGGTTACATATATCGATGTTTTCGCTTTGTGTTACCGCTTCCGATCGTGTCGACGCTGCGTTTCCGTTCGAAATATTCCGCCCCGATATCCCGTAATACCGGATTCGTTTTCCCGTCCGGCCTTCCTGCTCCTGCCCGTTCCCGGCCAAAAAATACAGGAGCAGGAATGGTTAAGACATTTTCCCGACCGTTCCCGACCGTTTTCATTCCTACCCGTTAGCCACTTGCTCGGGCTCCGAGAGCTAGTCTGGCCTGTGGAATGTGTTGTTTTTTATTGGGCCTAGACACAAGGCCAGGACCATGGGCCTAATCGGCATAGTGTGCCATGCCTAGCCTGGTGTCTATGGGCCATGTTTTCTTTGGACCCGTACCGTGTTGGACCGGGCGGCCCATTGGGCCATCTATAACTGTTGAGTTGTGCGTGTCCAGTCCAAACTGGCTGGCGGCAGCCCAAGCTTCTGGCCTTCCTCGAACCCATAGACAATTGCTATAAAAAAACCCATAGACAAAGTCCACATCAGCAGGCTTTCGCAAAATTGTACATGTACTTTTACCGTTCACCCCCTTGTGTAACAGTTTTTGTAACAAGCTCCTGGCTAATCAAGTATTATTAATAGTCTTTCGATTATCTTTTCCCTTAGCTTATTCTAAAAAATTATTTCTGTAGAAATCCAATCGAAACTCTGAAAAATATATTTCTGTAAAAGTTATTCCTGAATGGTCTTTGGAATTTTCTGAATAGTTGCTTTCTTCTTTATTGCAAAACCGTAGAAATCCAATCAAAACTTCGGAGTAAAGTGTGGCTTAACAAAATTCGTTCCAATGTTTAGCACCCTATATGTAGGATCCACCAGAAAAATTACCTCTATCCCAAAATAATGCAATTATAGTTTAACTAAGTTTTATAGAAAATATCATTATTCGTGCCATGGCCATGCTAGGCAGGAGTAAGAATTTAGCCCAATGCCTATATATATATCTAATTGGGCCAGAAATTCACATATACTTTAAGTATTTTGGGTCATGCCTAGAGTCGTGGCCTATGCCCATATCCACCCCTGCTCCTGGTTAAGAGAATATATTTCAGAATTAATACAATGATACTTATTTTTTATCATAGATATTTGTAATTCTTTACAAATGTAATTAAAACTAAAATATTTTCTTTTTGCGATTACATAGTACAACACAAACACTCGTAACGCACGCACACTCACTCCTATAAACGCATGCACCCAAATCCTACCCCTGTTAGCATCTTCAAAGATTGGGCCAATAAATTCTCGAGGTTGACGAAGGCATCACAGACGTCTAAGCTGTCGACAAGAACGTCATCTACCACCGAAAACACAATGCCATTAAATTGTAGAAAATCGCTCCCTTGGGGAGGCTCTTGTAACCACTAGGCTACAGGTCATTTCGCAAAACTAAAATAATTTGGCTTAGTATAGAATTATTATTATATTATTTTTGGGACGGAGCGAGTAAACACAAGCACGGATGGAGCTATGTGGGGGCCAAACTGGGTCCTGGCCCCCCCTTGCTCCGGCTGCACTCTAGAGGTTTGCATGTCGCTGCATGCATGTAATTAATTCATGCATCTCTCGTACCATGCTTGCTGTTGCTGATTAGTGGATCATAGCTTACAAGTATGTAAATTCATACATTGTTTATTCTTCTTTGACAGAATTTCAATTGTTTATTGCAGTCTATATAGATAGAACTTGAAAAAACAAAGATTTTTCACAGAATTCTAATTGTCTATACTACCATTGGTAATACTGTAGCAGTGGACCTTTAATCCATACATTGTTTATTCTTCTTTGACAGAATTTCAATTGTTCATTGCAGTCTATATAGATAGAACTTGAAAAAACAAAGATTTTCCACAGAATTCTAATTGTCTATACTACCATTGGTAATACTGTAGCAGTGGACCTTTAAATCCCCCCCCCCCCACTCATTCATGCAAGCTCCACCACTGAACACAAGTTACATTGTCTTCTACGAAGACAGAAGGGTTCATGCTGTGTCCTCCGGTGCGTCGTCTAGCGCAACAATGCTTAAACTTAAAACATGCTAATCTTTATCAGGATTTTCTTTTGCCAACTTTTCACTTGGTAGTTTTACAAATTGTGCTCTGACGACCAATGGTGCTGTTTGACAGCAGGTCCGTATTTCTCTATGCCGCCTTGTCCCTGTAAATTTTTTGATCGAGAAATGACAGCCGCTCTGCCGTTACATTAAAGTAGAGAGCTTGTGTCTACAAATGGCGTGCTCTGGATTTCTTTAAAGTTGTTTTTGCAGATAATTGTCTATGTTTTATGATGTTAGCAGTCCTTTCCATTCTGCATTCTAACGGGTCAAGGGAGAAAGTAAGAATTCATGCTGTCATGTATGTCGCAGCATACAATTTGCAGCCATTTTTATCCTATGTCCAATTCAAATCAATCGTCACAATGAACTTCAGCACAATAAATTGATGGTATTAGCGTTCTCATTCCCTTCAGGCCTAAACAATCTTGCCAGTTTATAAAGTAGATATGCTACAAGACGCAACAGCTTACCCGTGGGCCGTGGTTCCATGAACACACGCAGATACAAAATACACGGCAACTTAATAAATAATAAGACACCCTAAACACAGCCATTACAATCACACAATGGATAGCACTGGATACTAACACAACTGTGAGTGATCACGATCCAGCAGCCTCTGGATTATTTGTCAAGACCATTATTGACTGCTCCACAGGCAAACCGTGAAAAAACCATTCCAAAGCAGTTCTACTTGAAGCAACAGATCATAAATAACAAAAATCCATTGTGACGGTGAGTTACAGCGCGGCATGTCGAAAACATCAAGTATCTACTACGCCTTATTATTCTTTGCCATCTCTTCCACATCAAGCTCCACTGCGAGTACTGGGCCATCCTGTTTCAGGGCCATGCCGCTGTTGCACAGACAGTAGGAACAAACATTTAGCTTATGCGCGGTGTAGGTCTCAAATGAGATGAGATGCACAGATGGATATAGCACAGGAACAAACCTGTTCTCGACTGGACCGTGATCAACAGCCGTTCTTAAAGAGTATATCACTCTGCCAAGGATGTCAGTCATTGGGACAGGTCCAAACAAGCGGCTATCTCTAGCTTCCTGTCACCAAACCAATCATGAAAATCTTTATTAACAAAAAGGCCTTTGTTGAAATGCAATATACTTATTCACCAAAAGTACACATGCATCTACAATGAGTACGTGACAATATCTCCGTTTTACACAACAAAATCATGTACGACACCAACTAGCATAATTACACATGCTACTGCTACAAGCATTATTATTAGCTCAATAACATACATACCTTTGGCTTAAGGGCTAGGTTGTCTGCCACCACCCAGCATTGGTCCTTCTCAAGAACAAACGGCTCATCCTTCTCATCATTAGAGACCATCTCATAGCCTTCCAGGGCAGCCAGTCGTCGAATAATTAAATCATCAGATTTCTCTGGGTCTTTTAACAAGACAACGTCCCCAACAAACACTTGTCTGTGAAGATAATTTGATACATAACAGACTATTAAAAACATCTCAAGCAATAGATGATGCCAAATGGTCTTTGGCTATCAGCTGAAGTGGCTTTACAAACCAGCCAACCAGGTTTCCTTCATGTTGACATTTTATGAGTTTTTACAAAAATGCAAAAATAATAGCTATTCCATGAGATCCAACAGTTGATCTAAAAGGAGGTATCAGGTATCAGGGAGTTCAGTACATACACACAGAACCTTGAGAATTAACTAAACTTCACAAGTTCACATAGTCAACAGTTTGAAAATAATGTTGCTTTATACAAATACATGGACTGTGATTGACAGCTGTTCTTAAAGAGTATTACAAGAAAGGAATGTAGTAACATTGGAATCCATTATGCATTGACTGCAATAGTTGATTATCAAATATGCAAATGAGCTTTTGTGTATGCATGGTGTATCAAGTATGTGTTAGGCCTGAGCTGGATCGTACTCTGGGCAAGTGGGCATCATATAAATCTGCACCAAAGCCCATTTCTGGACAAGTGAGAAAACCATCACCCATCTATTGCGTTGGTCCTCATCTCCACAACAGCTCCAAGCAGTGAATAAATTCACCACATGAGTTGTAGCCATCAAAAGCAAGAAAATAACAGAAATCCAGTACTTGTAACTGTTTATAGACCATTTTCTTTTGTTTACAGAAGTACTTTCTTAAGTTATTTTCCCAGTAATATGACATTTTTCAACACAAACGTTGGCTGAATTTCAAAATCACATTGTTGACCTGTGATCAGGTTCATTTGAAGGGCAGTCTGGTACAAGAATCTAATTAAGAATTGTAGCTAGGGGCATCTTTAGTCTTTACCATGCTGTGCAATATAGTTAGCCTAGTTAGTTAGATGGATATTAACAAACTTTGCTGCTTAGTTCATTATTTCTGTTTTAGGCTTAGTCTTTACCATGCTGTGCAATATAATTAAACATTGGCTAAGCGGTTCCTGGGTTAGTTTAATAATAGTTTTTGCAGTAGGAAACAGATTAAGATGGAATTGACATGGCAAGACAATATTAGTTTACTATGATTTAATTCTTTGCAAAACAAGTAGTTTCACTCATGCATTCTTTGCTGAACAAGACAAGATAGCATTCGAGGGAACAGTGACCCAAGCCCGAACTAGGAAACTACAAAACAGGGTGTCAAAAAAAAGAATGCCCTTACTGCGAATTGCTTACCCAGATGGAAATACATTGCTATTGCATGTTCTCAGGTACGGATACAGAGCCCAAGCAAAGGGAGGTCAAGCCAAAAGACGTACAGAACAAGTTGCAATCAATGGTTTGGTGCCCACATTTTGTCCATGAACTTCAGGACGAACTCTGTACTAATCAAGGCTCCAAGATGAGTATTGTATATGGATGGAAACCTTGCCAAGTCTATTTTCAAATGTGCAGGACTAACCCTCATTTGGATTGTGCAGAAAGAATTGTGCATATTTTGGTGTACGCTGTACCAGGCCCACAAAACAAGACTGGACTAAGCGAACCCAACCAGCTCAAATAGGAAGGATACGAAGGCAAGCGCTCTTGTTCTTTTCCATAGTTGCCCCCTTGAGAATCGGGACTTGGGAGTAATTCTTTACCTCTTGTGTTCTTGGGCATCCTTGTGATTGCAGCAGCTTGTCTACTTTGCCTGGTTCAGTAGACATTGATCGAGTGTATACTTAGGACAAATTCCTTTTATCACAGATTGTTGTCCAGACAGATGTAGCCTGTTCGTGCCCTCGACTCGCTATGTTACATGGATCAAGTGCTCTCCACGATCGTAAGACGAGAAGATCGGGCAAGCACCCGCACCACAATTAATGTATTTGAAGCTCTACATCATATAGATAAGTCACCCTGATTTTGTGTGCAGACTAAAGGTGAGCACTGAGCAATACCAATGAAAATCTCGGGTAACATCTCAGTACAAGGAAAAACAATATATAAATTTACACACACAAAACTATGGTTTCGGATACTTTACAGTTGAGGAACAAACACTGTCAAATTTCACTGGTTCCAACTTATTGCAGACAAGTTCAGTGATTTTTAGATGCTATAATAGGGCCAGGAAAGAAATAAATATGTGATACAGGGGATGTAAATAAAAAGTATAGGAGCAAATATTTAAAATATGGTACTTACAAGATTTCAATTGAATTTACTGAATGAACTAGTTTGTTTTTTTTTAAATGTCATCTAAAGTGTTCCCTGTTATTGAACTTTTGAAGTAGGGTGCAGATATTTAATTTCAGCCACAAAATAAACCTTGGGCACAGGCATACATTGCTGACTAAGGAATAGCATGTCAGTGACAGGCAACATAAAAAAGAAGAAGGCAGAGGAGAAAGGAAATTAAGTGCTTACGTGGGGCTCAAATTTGCGAGCTTTCTGACAAGGAGGGTTCCTCCAGTTGGAGATACGATGGGAGCCATGGCTTCTCCCCCTTTGGTCCAATGCGTGTAGGTGAGCTTGCCTTGGAAGAAGTTTTTCCATATCGCATCAGTTAGCTCCGTGCTGTTGATCTGGCCCACATTATATTTCTGCTTGGATACAGATGCAGAGAAGAGAAATGCATGGATAAGAAAAGAGTTGTGAAGGAAAAAAATATTATAAAATGACGAGGTGAAACGAAGAAAAAATGTGATGTTGTGCTTGCGGTCTCGATCAATGGGTACAATCGACATCCTATCACTGAGCAGACGATATGAAATCAAAGCAGAAATGTAAGGGAATGAAGTCCATGTTATGCTACTATTCCTTAGTTGCGGCTGCTGCACGCACAACACGCCGTCATTTGATTGATGAATTGTCCTCTGAGCTAAAGTGTACATCAGTGTTCTGATCAAGGGCAAATGGATTGAACAGTGTGGTAGAATCGACGAGTGTACAGACACAAGGGTAGATAGGGGCAACTAATTACATGGCAAGATGTGCTGCTACTAGGATGCTTGGATCTAGAGAGAGGGTGGAGGAGTAGGATTTAAGTAGAAGAAACATGGGGATGGGGAATTGGGGATAGATGGATTCATGGATAGGTGCAGTACCTTCCACGAGAGGGAGATGGAGTACTCGAACTTGTGAGCGGCATAGCGGAACCAAGTCGACAGCGAAACCATCCTCCCCAACCCCTTCTCGTCGGCTGCCCAGCTCTTCCACGTCCTCCTCGAGGAGCGCACGCACTGATCCCCACCCCTCTGCTTGGGGAGCGGGCTCCTCCTGCTCGGTGGCGGCGGCCGCTGATGCTCCCCGCAGTCCGCAGTCAGAGGATGGAACGGGGGTTGACCCTAGCAGGGGGGCCCTCTGGCGGCGGCGGAGGCGGTGGAATGGAAGGAAGCGGCGGCGGGCGCGTCGCGTCGCGCAGGAGGGGCGAGCTGGGATTTTTCCCTTCCGCACAGTCCGTGCACTGCAGCAGCACAGGGGAAGTAGGCGGGCTTCTTTAACCTAACCAATTCATTGTGGGCTGGGCCTCGTGCATTCGGACTCAAGAAAAAAAAGAACAAAGCTTTGGCCTGCGAAATTATCAAATTACTTAGAATATACTGTAATTTCTCAACAAAAAAAAACTTAGAATATACTGTAGCTTTGTGTTTTCTGACTCGAACAGCTAGTGTCTGTCAGTCACGTAAATTCTTGTACGACTTTGATAAAAAAAAAATCTTGTACGACTCCACAGAACACGTGATTCTGCTTTTCTTTGAGCAAGAAAACTAAAACAGGTAAATCGCCACGAGTCTATAACAACACAACTTGCTCATCCAGAACTTGCTCATCCAGATTTTTGCATCTTTTATATCGACTTCCAAGATGCCAACGTCCTGCTAAAGCCTACATGCACAAAGAAGGTGTGCGTAACGATGGGGAAAATATTGTCAACACAAAAAAGATGCATGTCAACAAGGAAAGGAACACCATGAACTCGTTAAAGTGAAACCACAATCTCTGTTGAATACCATATATATTTCTCATGGTTAAACAACTATGTATATACAAAATAAAAATTGCATATTTTACACTGGCGGTTTGCCTAATCACTGCGTCAGACACAAAGCACCCACAGAGGGGGGAAAAGATCAGTCAACGGCGATCATGGTGTGGTCCTGACACGCTGCATCATCATTGCGCCATCAGCCTGAGCCTTTTAATCAACATTCAACGACGATCATGACCCTGATCATGAATGGAAGATATATAAGCGATAACACAGCCATTCAAGTAAACATGTCACCCCTACACACACAGACATAGCCAACCAGACTCACCTTACCATAAACTGCTGAATGGAGAGTCCAAAGTTAATCTTGATGCATGTGGTGCTGTTATGAACGAATGCCAGTACTTTAATTACTATGTTCATCTACATATAACTATATTTACTCTTTTTTGAAGTCATGGATCCTCAGTTTTTTTCCTGGACTGACAGAGAGGCCATTTCAAATGAAAATTGTGCAAACTCATCTAAACCAAGTTTCCACAATTTTCACTCATGGGATTATTTTCAGTAATGGGGCTATTTCCACTTGCAGGTTTATCTTCACCAAGGTTGTCGGTGCCCCTGAAGACCCCAGAGTAGTACTTGAAGTGGTGTGCCAGCAATGACACAATGGTAATGAACTCGCAGCCATTACTGAGCTGCCTGGCATGGGACTCTTGGCTGCAATGATCCGCAGCATACAATGACATCTCCACCCACACCCCCAGGATCAGTTCCAAAGTGTCACGCTGATCTTGCCACTGCAACTCTATGCTCAGAAGTTCGTTGGCGAGCAAGATTGCATACATATTAGCATTGTCGCGGATGGAGTCCCCGTGTGGATTTGGTGCCCTTACTGATCCCTGAGACAAAGAAGGACAATTACATAAAACTACTGCACCCTGAACTTTAGTATGTACTTTGTTAGAGTAAGGTCTATCTAAAAATAAAAAACAGAGATTGGCTTCTTTGAATTTCATTGTACGATAGTCAAACAAAGTCAAGAAATAAAATTCAGATGATCGCTATGCCTTTTCAGAGAGAGAGTAATATGAATAAAATTTCACTCGACGAAAATCAATTTGGAACTACCATTTTGGTGCAGATCTGAATATAAGCATGTGCTGGTTCTGTTAGTAAAATCAGAAAGTATGAAAATAAAAGGTTGTTTAAGATGTTCTATATCTTCATACATATTTACCAACGAAATGTGTTTCAGTTGGATGGTCAGGGAAGCTATACCTGCAAATTGAGAGATGCAAACAGTTAAGTGAGGCACAATTTGGGCCATTGTTCCAAGAAAAAAGAAACAGATTTTCAAACAAATGAATGTACTTGAGGCCCACTCAGCCCATACCAGTGCAAATTGGGAGAAACTCCACGCCACCTCTGCAAGCTTCTCCCTCCGTGGGATCCTGGAGCAACTGGGGCCATCATGGTGGAACAATTCCTTAAGAATATAGTACGGGTTCCAGCTTACAGGGGATGGCGCCACTGGGTTGTCCTTATCACCAAATCGCATTCGGCACTGTCCTTCTAGTTGTTCGCAGGAGGTGAGATGTATGTTGTGCCGTGCAGCACCAGGCAGCATGTTGGGTTTCACCACCAACAAGAACATCAAGTAGTTGGATAATACCTCAGTAGCCTCAAGGAGCTCTTTTGCATGTTTGGCCTTGGATTTCCTGATGTACACCTCGGTTGCAATGTGCCAAACAAGGATGCTCTCGTCAAAGTCAATGTTGACGCTCCAGCGAGCAAAGTCCTTGTAGGCCTCCATACGTTTCAGTATAAAGCTGCCTCTTGAGTTCAAATCAGTATCTTGGTGTTGCAGTGCTTGCTCTTTGCTTCGCAATGCTTCCAGAACCAATTTCTTGATATCTTGTATTGACAAAGACGAGTTTGCGTGTGGGAAAGTGCCTGAGAAGTGCATCTTGTTCCACCAGTCCTCGAGGCCCAATTTCATTGCTAGTCTGCTCCCTATCTCGTTGGTGTTGCAGGTGCACAGGTGGAACAAGTTGTACTGCCCAATGGAGCCCGACCAGAGTCTCCTACTTGCTGGATGGACACGCTGACCAAGGGAAGTGACAATGTGGAGAGGCCATTCCCATCCCCTGCCCCTGCGGTGCAGCAAAGAACATGTCCAGGTGGACAGTACAGCCCTGCACACTGATATGATTTCCAGGACCAAAGCCCCAACCAGTAAAACATAACTGATAGCCACATCCACTCTGCTGTACCGATTTCCACTGCTGTTGATGCTGAGCTGAAACAACAGGAATGTGGTGGCTGTGCCAAACAGCGAAATGAAATGGATGCAGAAGCCATACCATGTGTGGATCACTGCTGCCTTGGTGTACAGGAAGTCATACATCAGAGACAGCTCCATCTCGACCAATTTGTATAGATCCTCTCCCAGATAAGATATCACAGAACGTGGTTTAGATTGCGAGCGGACTGAGGGATTTGGTAGCATTATGATATCGGCGAAGACACCTTTGCAGATATCGAACTGGGAGTGGGCTCCAAGCAGCAAATCCTCTTCGCTAGTACCCAAAGCCAATAACTGATAAGGGTCAGTCTTAACCTTCCGGACGCTGATGCTGCTACGGATGCTGCTGATGTTGCCACACTTGAGAGCCCATATCCTCTCACCATACTTGAGAAGGCCGCAAGCGAACATGGACATGGAGGCCAGCAAAAGCAGTGCCCGCTGCTAGAGATGTACTCAGATATCACATAAGCAGCTCCCAGGACCTGCACAGCAAGAGTTTGCAGGTGGCGTAGCCAGAGCGCGTTGTCCTCAAGCGCATACGCTGTGATGTTGTCTGGGCCACCCAGGTGCAGCAGTAGAAAAGGCGCCCAGAATGCCACCAGCTGGTGCTCGTCGTCTGACCTACTGTCCACAGATAGGTGGCCCAGGGTGTATATCGCCGTGGAATCGGCCAGCAGGTATGCCGACCAGAGGAAGAACATCAGGGCGGTGGAGTTGCTATGCCGGCGGACTCCTCCGAAAACAAGGAGGAATACTTGTAACCCAAAGCTTACAAGGACCAGGATTTGTATCCCCCATTCATTCCACAGGTTCACTAGCTTTCCAGCCTCAATTACTTCGCTCCTCATCATGTCTACATACAGTAATAACATGGCAAAGAAACAACAATATTAGCAACTAGATGTTTGTATATGTGTTGTGTGCATGAAATGTATGCAAAGGACCGAATGGGTAACAGAATGGACCATGTATATGATCATAAGACAGTAATAATGGATGCTGATATCCGTTGCATGAGAAATGAGCTGAGAATATTAGCTCGAGGCATCATAATCTAACTGGCAATAATATAAAGAAGGGCAGGAATGGCAAAAAAAAAAAAAAAAGGAGAAGAAAAGAGACGGCCAAAGAACATAGGTGATTACTTGCGTGGGAGTTAAATTGGCGAACTTTCTGACAAGAAGGTTTCCTCCAGCTGCAGCTACGATGACGGCCATGGCTTCAACCTCCTTTGGTTGGACTTCGACACCTGAAGGCGAGCTTGCCGTGGAAGCAGTGGTTCCATACCGCATCAGTCAGCTCTCTACAGTTGATATGGCGCCATTATTATATTTGTGCCCATGGAGACAGATGCAAAGCAGAGTATAAACGAAGAAGAGTTTCTTTTTCTCTCTCTTTAAAACAGTTGAATTACTCCACAGGAATGAAGCATGATGTGCAATGCTTTCCTATGGATTAGCACATGATGATGCAGGAAAAAAAAAGAAAAAAAAGGTTGCAGGGAATGGATGCGTGCGCCCATTGAACTGCTAAAAAGTTAGTACTTGTGCCACCTGAATCGATCCAAGCATGAACAAATCACAGCAGTAGATCCATTTTGAAGCACCAATTGGTCTACAATGTACACTGAGTAATTGAGTAAAGCAAGCAGAAGTTTGTGGCGTGACGCCATGTAAGTTGTCAGGTCATGTATACTCATCAGTCAGTACGTACAAATCCACGATGACATTAATTAGCAATCCATTTCACCATGCATCCATGAAGCAACCAGAGGAATGGAATCTGTTAATCCAGGTCGGGTGGATGCTTACTTGTTGTTGTTGGGACGTTGGTTGGTCAGAGGAGGGATGCCGCTTCGGAAGGCGTCCCGGGTGATTGCCCTCGCGCGCGTCGGACGAGGACGAGAGGACTCGGTCGGTGGACGGCCTGGGCACCAGGCCTGATCTGCGGCGCCGCCACCGTCGATGCGGCACCGGCAGCGGACTGAGGAATGGGAGAGGGCCTGCCTGGGATGGTGGAAGGAAGTGGAGGCGGCGGGCGACAGGAGCAGGGGTGGCGGCGACGAAGCGAGGAAAAGGTGGGGAGCCTGGGAGGTGGCAGCCGCACGCGCACAACGGGAACGCCCTTCTTTCTTCTTTTTTTCAACCAAATTATTATTATTATTATTATATTCCCTCAGTTTTCAATTTTTCATTAATCTATATACTGCAAAAACATTAAAGGCTGCTCCTGTACTTACTGTACTATTATTCGCCACGTGGTTCTCCCTCCGCCTAGCATTTTATCACCAAACTAGGACCTGGACCTCCTCCTTGGTTGGCAACCATGTCGTCATCTTCCGATCTTCAGCCTCTATGAATCATAGGATTATAGAAACGTAAGAAAGTATATAAGAATAAATGTTACAGCATTATGAATGATGTGGACTGAGAAAGAGATAGAAAACAATAAAGGCTCCTTTACAAAGCGTGAATTTTACATGAATCAATTTATTTTCTCGGAAAAAAAAAGCAAGAAACATGAAATTTTTCTCCATTTCAAAGGGCTATGAGGTTGAATGTTTGGACGGAGCGTAAGAAAAATACAGGAATTCGATGAGAGTGAGTGAACAAAAAAAAAAACTTTCCATGAGTTTCAACCTCTTAGTAGAATTATTCTTGAATTAAGTCACTTCATAGGACCTGTATGAACTCAGATCTTTTGTTCCAAAGGGGTTTATAGGAAGTTTTTCTATAGAATTTCAATCCTTTAGAATTCTTCTGTTTTTCCTTTGTTCGAAAGGGAACCTTACTTTTTTCATATGCGAGGCAAATTAGTTCACACCAAGAGATGTAAAATAGTACATTGGTTTTAATTTGCCTTCATCAAAAGTAATCTCTTGTGTGGGAAAGAATACAATTCTAGCACGATATTGAGTCGAAACGTCTCAAATTTTTTTTAAAAAATTATACAAAAACGTAAGAAAGTATATAAGAATAAATGTTACAGCATCAGGAATGATGTGGACTGAGAAAGAGGTAGGAAACAATAAAGGCTCCTTTACAAAGCATGAATTTTACATGAATCAATTTATTTTCTTGGAAAAAAACGCAAGAAACATGAAATTTTTCTCCATTTCAAAGGGCTATGAGGTTGAATGTTTGGACGGAGCGTAAGAAAAATACAGGAATTCGATGAGAGTGAGTGAACAAAAAAAACTTTCCATGAGTTTCAACCTCTTAGTAGAATTATTCTTGAATTAAGTCACTTCATAGGACCTGTATGAACTCAGATCTTTTGTTCCAAAGGGGTTTATAAGAAGTTTTTCTATAGAATTTCAATCCTTTAGAATTCTTCTGTTTTTCCTTTGTTCGAAAGGGAACCTTACTTTTTTTCATAAGTGAGAAAAATTAGTTCACACCAAGAGATGTAAAATAGTACATTGGTTTTAATTTGCCTTCATCAAAAGTAATCTCTTGTGTGGGAAAGAATACAATTCTAGCACAATATTGAGTCAAAATGTCTCAAATTTTTAAAAAAAATTATACAAAAACGTAAGAAAGTATATAAGAATAAATGTTACAGCGTCATGAATGATGTGGATTGAGAAAGAGATACGAAATGTAACACCCAAAACTTTGCATCACTTTAAAATAGTTGAATTTGATTTATTAGCCTTGTGTGAGCATTTAACATAGGCAAAATGATTCTTTTTGTGAAATTAAAATTAGTCTTAGGTCTAAGAACATGTTGCTGCCTATATGTTGATGCATATTTGATTTATATTTGTCTGGTTTTTATTGCTTGAGAAAAGGTTTTCAAATCCCTTTTGAAAAGCATTTAAACAATTCTGGAAAATAAAAAGGAAAAAGGAAAAGCTTTGCTAGTCACTGTTCTTGGCCGAGAGGCCGTTCTTTCTCCTTTCGGCCTTCTCACCAAAGAAATTTCATGAGCACCAGCAAGGAAGCCCACCTCCTTCTCTCTCTCTCGGCTTCACGACGAGGCACTGGCCGCACGTCGTCCGCTTTCCTCCTCCTCCGACTCGGTGTCGAACCGGACACCGACCGAGCATCGATCCGCGCGTGGGCGTCCGCGCCACGCCCTGTCCCTATAAAGGCCGAACGACCGTGTCCACAATGCCCTTTGCAACCCTAAGCGACCCGCCGCTTCGCTCTTGAGCCGCAGAGCCGCCGAAACCCTAGCCACCATTGTCGAGCTCCGCCCGAGCTCGCAATTCGCCGTGGCCGTCGCTCCTTCGCCCCTGTAAGCTAGCAAGAAAGCTTCGCCTTGATCCCGTGAGTCTTCCCAAGCCTTTTCCCCGGTTCAATTTTGCTCATATCGTGTCACCGTGGTGTGCAGTTCAACGTCGTCCGCCTCCGTGAGCCCATCGTCGTCCACGCTTCGAATCCGACCCCATCTTCGAGCTAGGTGAGACCGCCTCGCTTCCCTCTTTCTTTTGGGACAAGTGCCGAGCCAAATGGTGGCCGGAAACGTCCGGTATGCTTTCGCCGGCGAGATTCCTCGCCGCCGGCGATGTCGCGCCGCCGCGGTTGTTTCTTCTCCGGCGACTGCGCCGCCGCCCTCCTCCTCGGACCTAATCCGAGCCGTCCATCTTGGATCGGACGGCCCGCAGAGGCCGACCCCTTTGTGGGAAAAATTTGCTAAAGAGCCCCTGAGCTCTTTAGATTTTGAAACCGCAGTCCAAAGCGTATTCCAGAGAATACGTTTTCTCTTTTGGAAAACGTATTTTTCATTTAGCAGATTCAAAATCAAGTTCTAGATATTTACAGAATTGCCACTGATTTCAAATGCTTATAAAATGTTCATTTTAACTTTGATTTGATCCGTTCAACTTGCGTTGGATTCGTAATTTCGTAATCTACGTGTTGGTGTCTTTGTTAGCTCAGTTCTAGTTTTTAAATTTTGAGTTCATGTTTAGTACATTAATAGTCTATAGGAAAACTTGGAAAATCCATATCTTGCTCGTTTTAGATCCGATTTCGGTGAATTTCGCGTCTATGTGATCGTAGTGACGAGTAGAATGTTTTTATACACTTTTCAAACTATTTTCTTGCTGGTGGTGTATTGTTCTAATTATAGCCCTTTGTTTGCTTCGTGCATGATTGCTCGGATGATTGTATGTTGCTGCTTGGTGTTGTTGATCGAGTTCAGACGGTGAGGTTTACGTTGGTGATCAAGAGAACTTTTACGACCAGCAAGACTAGCAAGACTTTCAGGAGAACTTTGATCAAGGCAAGTATAGCTAAGGACCTTCCTTGTTGTCCTATTCATGATGCTCACTAAAATACATATGCATGTGTCTTCCTTACTACCTATGGTAGGATTTTCTAGCTTTTGAATACTCAATTACCTTGTCACCCTGGGAGGTTTGCATTGGGTGGTTCTATTGCTAGTGCAACAATCATGATCTTGAA